GCGCACGCTTTGTTTTGTAATATTCATGGCAATACGGAAAATGGCAATTTCTCGACGTGGTTATGACAGGCACGTACGTAGGTACCGCTCCGGGAACTCCGGCAGCTCCGGGAACGACTCACCTCAACTGCCTAGAAAGACCGACAAAGCGCGGGAAAAATGATAGAAAGAAATTTTCATTAGCCGAGTGCATGCTTGTTTTATATCGGCTTGTTTTTCCGAACAACTGAGGCAAAATCTGATTTTTGTTTGACGAACGACCGGTTGTGTTTTTTATACGCTTTTATAAAATATACCTTCGTTGACTGAACGACTGAACTGTGTGTAAAATGAATTTTCATGCGAGTATGCGGTTATGCGAATTAAAATTATGAAGGACAAAGTATAGAGTAGTTGAATGTCGTGGCAACTGGATGTTGACGTAGGGATTATGGAAATTACATATGTATGAGTTTAGCTGGGTTTATGTAAACCGACTTTTGTTTTTGAATTAATATTTTAATTATTTTTATAGGGTATAGAGGCATGAAGTTGAATAGGAAATAAATTTAAACCAATAATCAACAAAATGTATTGGCATTTATTGTTTTAGGGCAAAAAGGTCTTATTTGACTTTTAATAATTATACTGTTAAAACAAAAGCAACTGAATCATAAGAAATAACTACATATCTAACAAACAACTATCTAACTATATTAAGTAAAATTTCTAGCTAATTGGTTTTTTTCAACTGTTTTTCAAAAATTTTCTCACCTGGTTCTTTCTATCCCATATGCAAGGTGAACAGACAGTGGGCAAAAAGATCTGTTATTAACTTCCCGTAGGGTAAGTTATTGCAATGGGCCGAAAATCTAAAGTGAAAATTTTCACATTTCTCGACGTTTTGAAGGTTTCTGAACATTTTGGCATACTTCAGAAAAAATTGATTTGTGTGTGTGTGTATGTATGTATGGATACAAATTTCCAGTCACGTTTTCGGGCGCACGGATCAACCGATTTCAATGGTTTAAAAAACATTCGATTACTATTGATAGGGAGATGAGCTGATTAGTTTTTAGCAAAGGCAGGTCCAGCAGTTACGGAGATAAAGAGCAAAGTGTGCAGAAAATAGAAATCGAGTTTTTGAGAGAACGGAGCATCCCATTTGAATGTTCTAAAAAAATTCAATTAGTAATAATTGGGAGAAGTGCCTATCAGATCTTGGCAAAGGCAGGCCCAGCCATTTAGAAGATACGGAGCTAAATGTGCAAAAAATGGCAGTTTTTGAAAGAACTAAGCGTCCGATTCAAATGATTCAAAGAACTTTCTGCTTGCCTTATCAAAATAATTGATTTTGGAAAAAAAAATTTTTTTTGTTTCAACTTTTTTTTTCAATTTTTTTTTTCAAAAAAAAAATTTTTGTATGTCGAAAATAATTCAGATTTTATTTTTAATTCTGACTTGAGTTCTAATATACTTTAAACAAATAATTTCAACTTTGCAATTCAGTTTATATAATTCTTATAAATATTAGACAATGCTACAATATTTATAATAATCTATTTCAAAACGTTCAGTATTCTTCTAACATTTCATTACAGTACGGAAAGTTCCAGCGAAAAGCAAAATAACGCATTATTAGAGTTGTGATAACTATTAATTTAATCCCTCGTAAAATCTTGTAAAATTATCTTTGTTAACTCATTTCACTTGTTTATTTACTATTTTATTTAAGTTTACATTTTGTCGAAAACAGAAGATAACAGATAATTAATGTATATTCAAGAATTATATCCAGGTATCATGAACTAAACAACACTGCTCCAAAAGTGAAGAAAATTGTCGTTGCAAAATTGACAATATGGCCGCTTATCTCCTATTGGCGATCCTATTCTTAGGCGATTCTAGCGGCCTATTACTTGTTTTGAAGTTAACAGTCATGGACTATCATCAACTACATAACACAGCTCAAACCTTTAAGAATAATTTTGTTGCAAAATTGACAATATGGCCGCTCAACTCCTGACCTTTAGCCCTCTACCTTCAAATAGTATTGTTAAAAATGCCTTACTTTACTTGATTTCGAGATAATCGTGGTGGACTTCTTCATCCACTGACCACTGACCCTCTCTCTTCTCTCTACTTTATATTGCATTTCTATAAATACATCTAATGCAACTTCTTTTCTACCATATACCCCGAAGCAAAACTTTTGTAAACTTTAAATTAAATGATAAGCTAAATCAACGCCAATACGACCCGGAGTTGTTTCAAAACAAAATCTACCATACAAATTATTTTCCGGAAAGTGTCCCCGTACATAGTAGACATTCGCTCTATTTCTCTTCGTCTACATCGGTGGTTTTCTTTTTTCCTCAGCGGCTTCAAGAATCTCTAGTTCGATTTTTCCGGATTCTCGTTAGTTAATCCATCGCTTCGGTTCCGGTCTTTGCTCATTTATCACCGGAGCTTACAAGTCGGTATTCGGAGCAGGCGACATCGATCGCGTGTCTAGTCCCATGTGAAACCGGAGTTAAATTATTTGAATTGTGGAACACAATGGAGAATCTACACTTTATCATAGGGAATATTCATTAGATCACTTCACTGCTAATGAAAAACCAACTTTTCTAATTTACAAAACCTATTTTTCAGAAAATAAGGTATTTTTTAAAATATAAATGAGTACCAGATGATCAGAATAACCTCTTATATTAAAGACAATTTTATCTCTAATCTAATATGTAGGTACACTTTGCCGCTAATGAAAAACCAACATTCTGCACTGTCTTTAAAAATCACAGTTTCAAGATTAGGAAAATCATGTGTAAAGAAGTTTGAAATGCTAACTCATAAGGGAACAAACCCATGTCATCCAATATATGTAAAAAACAATAATCACAGAAATATAAGATTTTAAATTCAGATAGTTTCAATTCCTCAAAACAACCAGTGATGTTAAAGTGAGATAGAGCTTTAGAGAAATATTTAGGAACATTAATCAATAGATGTATAAAAAATTATTTAAACATTTATATTTTTAACGTCCCATAGGGTAAGAAATAGTTATCCTCAAAAAATCGAAAATGAGAATTTTTGCAAATCTTTACGTTTTAGAAGTTTCTGGACATTTTAGCATTCTTTAGAAAAAATATGTATATATGTTTGGATACGATTTTTCGTCGGACAATGAAAATTAAGTTTTTAAAGAAAGGAGCGTCTGATTTGAATGGTTCAAAAAAATATTTTGCTTGTGTTGACGCAATGAAGAATTTTGTTTTTATTATTATTAGATTTATTTTAGAAGTACTGTATCCCAGTCAATGGTATGAGAGATCACACCTATCTTAAAAACAAGACAGTAAAATTTTACATCTTTATAACTATCTTTTAACGTGAATCATATCAATATATTTGCTTTTGAAAGTATATAAAAATACATAGACACTCATATACTTTCACCTCTGCGTATTCATACTTTTAATCAAATTTTTATGTATAATACAGAGAATCCTAGTTATACATATACATTGTGCTTAATGTGAAAATTCGAGAACAAAAATCAAATTCATTTACAGTGAATTTAATCTTGTTAAATGTTTAAAAACAGTTCCAGCAGTTTCGAAGATCCAGCGAATAAAGTTTCAAAAATTGGCTTAAAAAATCAGTTACTTCCAACAGTATGGATCAACCGACATGAATGGGCATTTTTAGATAGAAAGAAATTTTTAAATTTTCAAAAAAAAAATATTCAAACACTTTCAGTTCTCAGTTTTTAAAAAATATCAGTATTTTCAAAAATGTTCAAATTTTTCAAAAAAAATCTTAATTTTCAAATAAAGGCAGTTATTTTCAATTATTTCAAATTTTAAATTTTCAATATTTTCAGAAAAATTTAAAATTTCCAAAAAAAATATTTTTTTTAGTAAAAATTTAATTTCAAATTACCGTACGGGAACATCCATATTTGCCTTATTCGATTTATCACATTTTGATACCATTCACCAATAAAAAAATTACATATATCTATTATTTATTATAAAAATTTAATTTGATTGATTCAGTCAATAAAACAATCCTGAATAAATTTTCTGACCACTTTAACCAAATAAGCAATCCCATGATAATATTCCTGCGTCGTCGGCCGTCCGTCGGCTTAAAAATAATTACAAATTCTTCCATTATTACGATACTACGTCCATAATTCAATAATAACATATCATTATGTTTAAATCAACTCTGGTCGTCATCTGACAAGTAATGATGAAATTTCCTCGTGATTATTTTTATAAACCGTACATAAATCAAAAATTTGATATCGGGGCGCGGGCATGGGAATTACAACGTATTCAATTTCATGACTTTGTAAAATATTGCTTGGTGAAAATCAAAAATCGTTTCTGTTTTTATTTTTTTTCTGCGGCTTTATTTGGATGTGTTAAACTATAACTATATATTCTAATTTATAATGAAACAATTTCTGAAATTCAATTTACTTTTCTATATTTTTTGCCTAATAATTTTAAATGACTTTCAATCTCAGTAAACAGATAACTATCTGCAAAACAGGTCTCAACAACTCTCCCTTTTTATAACGAGACTTGATGCAAAAACATATCCTGCATTTCGAAATTTTTGTCGGCGGTAGGAAAAGAAAAATTACCCAGAAAATGATATATAATTATCACAGTATCCTGTACGTGTTTCAGTGCAATTATATAGTGATATACGTTCGCTTTGTGAGACCATTTCATATCTTATCTACAAATTAGTACGAGAAATCATATAAATTATAACTCTGTCACTTGATTTGTACAAGTAGGTGCTTGCAGGAATTTAAAATATGACCTAGATTAAAGTCGCATAACTCAGATTTTCATTTTCACACTTGTGGTGGATATTCTAAATTGCTCTAATTGTGAGTGGTACTCCACCACAACGTTAATTATTACCTAATATAGTTTTTTAATAGCAGGCTTGAATTTTCAATTAATTACCTAATGTTTCTTTTATCTTTTCAGGATCGTCATGTTAAGCCTGGATACGACCGTGAACCTGAAGTTGATCCTTCGCAGGATTATCAACTTCTTCTAGGTTACGAGAATGCGACTCACACGGTCTTAAGATTTAAGAGACGTCTAGACACTTGCGACATTAGTCATGACATGCCGATCACGGTAAGTTATTAATTTAATAAATAGAATTATTTTTTATTACTTGGGATTCTGGGAGCTACTGTGCTAAGAGAAATTACCTGGTAATGACATGCCACAGCCAATTGTTAAATGATTCTCTAATTTCTGCTTAATTTTCAGTTACTTGACCAATCTTTCAATATAAATTTCTTTAATCGATCATCGTATTTTATAATAACTTTATCAAATTTGCAGAATCTGATCTACCTATCTAATCTATCAAAACTCATTAAATATTTATGACTACATTCATTTTTGCAGATAAAGTAATTTTATGCTTAATCTAATTATTCTCAATTATGACTCATATTTTAAATAGAAACATATGAATACTATGATTTTTACTTTGCAAAAATTACTTCATTATTATATATCTATATTCATCTAGGCCTATATTCATTAATCTAATCACTATTATTAAAAAAAAATCATTTTATAGACAGTTCAATTACTATGATAACTCTTACCGAGACTATGCAAATAAATAATTTTACTACTGTCTACTCTTGTTATAGTCGTGATTATCTCAATTATATAGTATTAAATTCATTCTTTAATGAAATATAATTGGTTAAGCTCGCCATTACGGCTTGAATTAAAATACCGGTCACAAAATGACTCGACAAACAACAAAAGTGAATTGTACTGATTGTGCTTCTATTTATGTCGGGTTAATAATTATATAAATCTCAAAAAACTCACTTTGAGCAAGATTATTTAACTAGTTAATTCTGTTTGACTAATATACACGTCATGGAAACTTTGTGTATTATAGCATACATTCGTCAAGCGTATAAAACAATGATTAATTGCTATTGCAATTTACTCTATAAATGACGAATATACTCGTTTTGAGCTCGATTCGGACCACAGAAAACTTTTAACTGGTTAATTAACAATAACCTTTCGAAGACCTCTAAAATATTTTATTGAATATAAATTATTACTTATATACCTTAAGAGAACAGAATATTTATCAATAATACATTTTAAACGAATTAATGATTACTTTTATCCAAGTCATTTCTCATTGTTTTAATATTACACAATATATACGTCAGGATTACCTTTTCGAGGTACCTTCCCAATTTCGGCTGAAAGTAATCGGTTAAGATTATCATCTTGTCTCATGCTTATCGACAATATAAATGGCGTAATTAATTTTGCGAGTGGCTTCGAAATGAAAGATTTATTCGCGTGCCATAAATCTAAAGAAAGAGGCACACGTCGTCTGAGACAGAACCAATGAACAAGTGAAATGATCGTAATAATACGAGAGATTGGTTTAAAGATTTTTTTATTTATAATATTTACTGAAGTCTAGCCAAAACTGTCTTTACTGACTTCACATATGTTATCGAAAAAGTTGCATTTTTTTTGTTAACTTTGTTTTATTTAGCAATCAGAAATACATAAAGATACCTATGAGCTAAAATGACAATATTTAAGAGCGATGTCTAAGAAGAACTCCAATGAGATCTTCTCAGTTTTACAATTAATATGATAATATTATATTAGACCTAATCTAAGACTAAGTCTAAAGGCCATTGTCGTTTCAATCTCCTTATGCCAAAAGGTCAACTAATGTCAACTATTGATGGGTTCGAATGTGAGTCCAGTTTGCGTTTGTATTTTTTCTTGAATTTTTTGAACGTTGATTGCATCGTTTAAGAATTGTACGTAAAATTTTTGACTGAGTTCTATGCATTATAGCTATATATGATTTGTAAGCACATCCCCAGAGCTCAATTCCGCAAGTCCAGATTGGTTTAATAATTGATTTATATAGTAGCAACTTATTTTCAACCGAGAGCTTAGACTTTTAAGTTGCATTTATGATAAAATTTTAATTTGACGTTTGTGCATTTGTTGCATGACGTTTGTTTAGGTTTTATGTGTAAAACGGCTGATCTCACACCAAATACATAGCTTTTTGTCAGTTTGTTACTACCAACTCATATGAAGATAGACCCGTAACATAGCTTTCTTTTAATAAAATTAATATTGCACCTCTACTCTAGTGACCACTCAATAGATTTTTCAAAATTTTATTATCTGAAATGTTGCAATGAAAAATTCCATCGCGATTTTCATTACTTTATTATCCATTATGTGAATGGCCTTATAGTTGCATAAATATAAATAGAAAACAAAATATAATTATCATAAAGTATTTCAATAAGTATAAAACAAATCATTATTTTATATGCCCATTGGGATTGGCGAATACCGCAAATTTCTTCTATTCAAACGCATCTTTCTTAATGATCAATTGCTTTTTGTCTGAACTAGGATCGCCGAGTTTGCAAATAGGCGCGGTTTGTATGTAAGTACGAATATGGAAATTTTAATTTGTGTTCTTATTGATCCTAATATTAATCATAGAACATTGTAATGGGAAATCAAATAAGACGATTGAAACTACGTGAATATTTCTAGAATTTTTTGAAACAACCTTGACCAACAATATGTAGAAATTTGCGGTTCTTTGATACACATCGAAACTAATAACGAAATATAGCTATGTTATTCGAGAATAGGCAAATTTCGATACCCAATTTATAGCCGCAAATATAATCGGAATCGACCATTTATCACAATACATTGCACAAATCTTTTCACCACAGGCGCTTCTGGGAACATAATTCAGCAAACCCGGTAGTCACGGTCAAATCCGGCCGTTTCGCAACTGTCGACGAATTAATTAAATCATCCATTGATAAAATAATTAATTCATTACGCATAACATTTATATGTTCATTACGGTAAACTTTAACAATAGGTGCGGAACCGCTGACCTAATGAAACAAAAGCTATTGCTAACAATGAACCGACCATTATTCATTCACATTCATGATTCATCAGTCACGCTTAATGTGTTATATGAGAAACAATTATAATAATAAAAATAATAATAGTGAAAATATCAATTACAATAACAGATTCTCCGGTAGAGAGTAGACTAATTTAAAAAAAAAGAGTGCACGCATGGTTCACACGCGATTGAAGTAAAACTCATTCGCTACTGTACACAGTAGCAAATTTAAGTTAAGTAAAAATAAATACATCATGTAACAATTTTGAATAATATTTATTAGTAATATGGTAACACTCCTGATGCACACATTTATTATTGTCAACCATTATACACATTTATATATTAATAAATTATAAATCATATATTTATAATAGCATTAAAATATGTATAATATTTAAAAACAATAATTAAAGTCCTATTTCAAATATGACATGATCGGTTTGTCATTGTAATTAGCATTTAGAAATGAACCTTCATTAGAGAAATGAAGTAATTGCTGATTAATAAATTCTTTAATATTTGTTCACACAGTGATTATGTTAAACAACGCCTCAACAAATATTGTTTTTGCAACTTCACTCATCATGTAATTGTGTTCGAAGAACTTCATGTAATTAAAATTAACATACATTCATTGACTGCTTGTATTTTTTATACTTTTTCGCTGGCGATATAATCTCATTCTTTGAACAGCTGTAATATCTGTTTTGCCTAAAAAATATTTTCCATTTCAATAACTTAATATAGAAATTATTTCAATAAATTTGCTGCATTTGTTTTATTATTTTCATTATAATTATTTTTCGGGGGACACGGTAAAATATTCTTCTGATTCAGGCATTTTTCATTAAATCAAGATTTGTACTACGATGTAACATGAAATTGTTTATTTATCTATGCCGATTTCCTTGTTGATATCGGTTCGCATACAACGTTGATGCCGGTACGCATACAACGACAGATCTCTATTCACATACGCGACGACTAATCACAATCGACCCGTAAAGAAGTGATATCATAGAGAGCAAATGATGAATCATTGGCACTCGACTCTTATCGTATCTTATCTGCCGTAACGCACTTCCGTTGCATTTGTACGGATTTACACCCTAGTCGTGCCTAAAGAAGTTTTACTTCAAAAATTACGAATATTTCCACATTATTTCAAAAGTTTTATATCAGAAATATCAATCACTGAACTAAATTTATTACTCAAATGATAATAAATTTGCGGAGTATAAAAACAATCAGCTTAACGCTTATACGTTAATAAAACGCTAATGAAATTCATCGACTTCATGAAAACTATTTTTCATTTTTAATTCAGAAACTTCTTCTAATAAAGTTAGATAAAATTATAACCTATATAAAGTTTTGCAGTATATGGATTATATCATTTTAGATTTACTATCTCTAGAGTTTCAGTCGACATCGCAAAATATTGCGTCCGGAACTATCACGCCAGGCAGCCAACGCCGTCGAGCTTTATGAAGAATCGTTAGAGTATATTCTTGGTTTTTATTATTATTTTGTGGTGCGCCATCTTTGTAGTTTTCTTTCTTTGGGTAACAGAGAAATGGAAACATTTTAATGTCAGTACAAAAAATATTCCTAATTTTTACTGGTCCCAGGATAGTTGAAATACTCTGCCTTTTGATTAATGTTCTATTATTTTGAACAGCAATCAGTACTTAAGTGTCCTATAAGCTGTTGGGCTGATTTGACTTAATACTAGTCCCAAGCAGTTGTCCCATCTCTGTATGATGTATTATTAATACAATTTCTGTAATGGGGATCAGGTCTATTTTCACTTGGAAGCTATATTATCAAGTGAAAACCCTCGTCTCTACTGCCTGGTAACAGGCTGCTCAAAGCGGGAGTGAACCCTGAAGCTTTGATTCAGGTCCAGTCGTTCTAGCTATTTACCTACAAGCAAGCCTATGTTCTATGGTATATCTAATTTTCAAAATTGAAAGTTTTTTATGTTGGGCAATGAAGGCAATCCTCAATCCATTCGCCGCATTGCGGGCGTCAGCCTGAACAATGCGTATGCAATAGTCGAAGTGTTATCTCGACATATGTTTTGTATTTATAATGAGATGACAATGCTTACAAATAAGCCATTTGCACTTAACCAGTTTGACTTATCAGATTGAACTGAACT